TGATTTGCTGCTGGCTTCCCCATTGACTTTGCTTGTGGGAAGCTGTCAAAGAGTGTCAGAAGTCTTCCTTCCTTCCTTCCTTCCTTCCTTCCTTCCTTCCTTCCTTCCTTCCTTCCCCTATTCACATATAATATAGGCTTGCACCATTTGTCCTTCCCTCATGACCCTCAGGAGAGCCCCAGTGAAGCCTCCTCTTCTTCCTCCTTGGCTGACCTGCAGAACTGCCTTCCACTTTGCTGGGGGTAGGTGGAACAAAGGGAGCCACAGACCATGAGGAAAACTACACCCCTGCTCCCCATTCCAGCGTGTCCCCAAGGGCCCCCTCCTTCGAGGGAGGAAGAGAGCTCACCCATCAACCACCAGCACCCCTCAGCCACCTCCACCTTGCCAGCAGGCATCCAGGTCGCTCCCTCATCCTTCCCTCAATGCCCACTGCTGTTAAGAGATTTCAGATTTCTGCCTTGTTTTCAAAGGAGCCAATCACCGCTCACTCATTGGGCCTTGCCGCCAGCCAATTGGGTGCAGGGTACAGAGGGAGGTGGGAAAGAGGTCAGGGATACGCCAATGACAATCACATGACCTGGGCTTACCATGGCAGTGCAGCAGTGCTGAAGCAGCCACACATTTCCCAAATTTCAATCCCATGGGAGTAATGGGTCCTGGATTTTGGACGCATTCTGTAAGTTAGCCCATTTGAGGTATCTTGATTCAAAAATTGTTACCCTAAGATGCACTGTTTTGCCGAGTTGAAGGCTACAGACACAAGAGTTTTAGTAGTATATAGATTAGTCTATAACCACCCACCTTTATTATTTTTTTAAGAATGTGAAGTGGACTGGGAGGGAGGGATGGTCAGAATTAAAGATGTTGCAGGAGGCTCATCATTTCTTTCCAGCATTGCTGTGTCCCATTTGCTTTTTAAAGTTAAGTCATTAAACAAAAAATTAACCTCATGGAGCCTAGCGGGTGTTGGGGAGGGGTGGCATTTTTGCCCGTGGACACAGCCATTCCTACAGTGGTTTAATGTGACAGGAGAGAGCATGTGGCTGGCAGACTCCCCACCACCACCACCTTTCAGTGTGAACACAAGAAACAAAGCAGCAGCTTTTCAGTCATTCAAACATAGGCAAATGTGGATAATCATAACTAGTAGTTTCACCACATTCACCACCCTCTTTCTCACTTGAATTTTTTAAATTCATGTGTTTCACTGAATTTTGTTTTGAGGTTAACCACGTGGGTCTGGGCTTAGGCACATTTGAAAATTCCTTAAAATAAACTAGGAAAATACTTCCAACTCTGGTAAAATTCTGAAGGGGGAAAAGAGGAAGCTTATAACCCCGTGAGATGCTGCAGCATGTTTTGTAAACTAGCACAATATCCTTGACACAAACAATATGGGATTTCCAAAATTGTGTGTGTTTAGTGCTGGCAGTTTTCCCAGTGCTGAATACGACCCTTTTAATATTAGGGCAAGGAAGTGTGACCATCTCATCAGAGTCAGATGAGATTCTGCCCCACTGTTCCCAGCTCTGCCTTCTCTTCAGTAACCGCCCCCCCCGCCCCAGGCATTAGGACTGGCGCTTGACCGATCCAAGGCACCCTAAAGGCAAGATGGAACTGGGGCTTATGAAGACAAAAGTTAGAAGACAGGCGCCCACAGCAGTATGTTAATATATATGATTGATGCTATAAGAAAACTAGGCGTCAATATGATTGACGGGGAGAGGAAGTGAAAATAAAGTAGTAATTGAACATCAAGTTGTTTAAAATCACAATAAAACTGGAATATGTTGTGGAAGGGAGGGAAAAGAAGAGCACTGAAAAGCTGAATAAGTAAATAAAGTGGGGGTCAAGTGAGAAAGAGGGTGGTGAATGTGGTGAAACTACTAGTTTAGCCATTGGAAGAGAAAACATTTCCCTCTGAAGTGAGCCTGGGAAGCGTTGCACTATTATTGCAGAGAGAGTGAAGATACCCCTGTTCCTCCCCTCCAAGAATTTGTGATTGAGATGAGCCTGACTTTATTTGCTGATCCTTGAATCCAATACTCCCTGCCTAATACTCCCACTAAGATGTTAAATGAGCACCTAGCAAAATACATCTTTTTTTCTTGAAAAAACACTGTTTGAGATGCATACCACCTCCATTACAGGGGACTTCCAAACTAAATATTGGAGGCTGTGCACCATGAAAAGTTTAAATCAGGAGCAGGGCACGTTAGAGATGGACGCCTTGCTGGCTTGGCTTGGGGTTCACGCAGAATCAAAAACCGTGTACAGAAAAGTTTGTACAGAGGCACTGCTCTGCTTTTAAATATTGAGACACTTTTGCTATTAAGAATTTCTAATATCTGTTTGCTTGTCAGTGTTGAAGACTTAAAGAGCTTTTTTAAAAATGCTGTTATATAATTTAAAGTTCTGAAATGTATACAGAATAGTTGACAGTATTGTTGTTGAAACAGCAAGTCAGAGAATGGCTGCTGGGTTTTGTCTGGTACATGTTAACATTTGTTCTGCAGGTTTCTGTTTACAACAAAATGTGGACATTGCTAGGTTCCTGAACCTTCTGTATTTAACAAACACAAAAATGCAAACAGCCTGTCATAGATCAATAAGACTAAACATGAGAAGGGCCATCAGGGTTTAGCGATGTTGTTATCGTAGCCCAGCAAACAAATTCTGTGTTTCCTGAGGATAAAGGACAGAATACTGAATCCAGCTTCATAACTGGGCTGTTGCAAAATGTATTGTGCCGTGTGATTCTCTGCATATTTAAATAGTAGCAAGTTCTACTAGTTAGCAGTATGTCCTTCCAAGTTAGATTTGCATAGAATTGATCCTATAAGAGGAAGTGAGCAATGAATCTTGATGAAAATGTAATGTATTTGTTCTGGTTTTATTACATAATAAATGTAACAAAGGTTTGCAAGGGACTTGGCAAGATTTGAAGAATAATAGAAAAATATTTTAAGAGGTGCTGTTACAATAATAGTTGCAGCCAATATTTTGTTGGATGAACTTGGAATGCCATAGCAAATGATTATGTATGCTGTCACAGAAGAAGCACTAAAAGCACAAGCTTTTAGCTGGCTTGGCCAGATTCCTTTGATAATTGTGGTGGCCACTGTCAGTTTGAGATGGTCTCTTCTAGAAGATTTATTTTAGATTCAAAATAAATACAAATTGAGATGGGGAAAAAAAACTTTATCAGCAGAAAGTAGAAGTGACTGAACCAGAACCTAATGGCCAAGTAGAATGAACTTCCAATATATTTAGAAATGACAAGGTGAAAAAATCATAACTTATTCTCTTTTTTCAAGCTCAAGCTGTGCCCAGAACAGCTCAAATTACTCTGGAATTCAGATTCTGAAAATTAGTAAAATTATGTTCAGTTGAATAAACTTCAAATGAACGGTTGCATTATCAAAAACTCAGTCCAGTTGCTTTTTGGAAATATTGATGATAGTATAAAATAATATGTGGTTTAATTAATAAAATTTGTTACTGAGCAGGGAAGTCTATATTTCTTATTCTTATTCCTTATTTACTCCACTATTAAATGCCTAAGAAGTGCCTCCATTATTAAATGCAACTCTGCTTCCTGCCAATCACCACCCTTCTTAAAAAGTCTTGCTGCACCTTCTAGAAACCATTCTCTGTTGCTATCCACCTTTTGAAATCCTGTGCACCTTGTGTAGGAGCATTCATTGAAATTAGTAGAATTAACATATGACACATGGATAAGAAGACTCTGCCTGTTCCACTTGTCATCATACCAGTTTCCCTTCTGTACATAAGTATGTATATGTTTCTTCATCTGTGCCAGCCTAGTTGTCTCTCCTTGGGGAAGTGGAGAAAAAAATGCAAGAAAGGTAAGGGAATGTTTGAAAAGAGGTGAAAAAAGTTAGTTCAGGAGTTGGGTTGTAAAGGCTGTAAAATTACCCAGCTGGCTTACATTAGCCTGATCCAGAACCTGTATCTACTTGGAAGTAATACTAACTTCCTAACTAGATCTTGCACACACGCAGTTATTTGCCTCTTAACCTTCTAATTGTTCCCTTGATGGTGCTATTTCTCCTGTGGGCATATATTTGGCTCAGAGGCATCTTGATCAGGATCTGGGGCCATAGGACCTGGGCCTGCAGAAACTATCTCTTCCCTATGAGTTAGACCTGGATCTGGGCATGTGCTGGCCTCAGATTGTTTTCTAGGCTCATCCTCATCTTCCAAAGATGTGTCTTCTGTGGAGACCATGACAGTTCAGTATCAGAAGATACAATGATGGCCACCAACACAGAAGGCTTTTAAAGGAGATTAAACAAGAGGCAAGACTGTCAATCTTACTGCATTATTTCCTGTGCTGATATGACTCTGGAGAGCCATAGTGGACAAAATAAGCATTTAGTTTCATTTAGCAAAAGGAGCAAAGTGAGGGAAAAGAAAACAGAAGAGCAAGCAACAATAGCAGTCAGATGTATTATCGGCAGTTGCTCTGATTGTTCACTTTCTTCTGCTATAAAGATGTAGAAAGGGGAGCATGCCTTCTTTCTCAAGTACAGTCCCAGTTTTTTCTCAACAATCTTTACCTGTGCTGCTTATTTTGAAAGTTCTAATAATACCTGAGTTAGAGATTTGAAAAACTTACAGAGTTGTAGAAGTGTGCCATAGGTGCTAGAAAACTTACATAGCTAACCAGTGGAAAATATTTTAATGCTTTTAATTAAGTAAAACTGTGATAGAACTTTCTTCATCTTATTTCTTAGCAACAGTCAAGCTATATTGAATGACAGATAAAGTATTCACATTTTTAAAAATGCTTTGGATATTAAAAGCAAATTATAAATACACAGTGTAAATGTCAGTAAAAGATAATGGAATTCTATACAGTTTAAGGCAAACATGGACATAATCCAGTGGTTTTCATAAATTCTTTCTTTAGTAAACATGTTCTATACCTGTTTATCAAAACACCTTGAATGTCGCAGGGAGTTTTGTAACATTTTCTCAGCCAAAGATGTACAACCAAGGATCAAATCTGGCCTTTCAGGGCTACCGTATATATTCAGCTTGCATAGGAAACTGGATCTCACAGTCAGTATCTTGATTTGGAGGATCCAGACTATGCCTGATGCCACTGGGAGATTGTGTAAGAATGCTGGGGATTGCTTAAGAATTGTGATTGTGATAGGAAAGCTGCCTTTGGATGTTGATTTTTCTTTCCTAAATAGACAGCATTATTCTGTTGTGTAAGAAGAAAATTGCCTGAAGGAAAGATGTTTACAATTGACGTGAGTTCTGCAAAATTTATAGCTCCTATAATGTGTATGGAAGGTCAAGGCTGATGATCTGAAACTGTGTCTGAGAATACTTCATCTATTGAGTAAAGATTGGGGTCATTGAACCATGAAAGTCTGCAAAGTTCAAATGCCTGTGGCTTAGGAAGAATCTAGCTTTTGCTGAATGTGTTCCAACCTCTTTTCTACGCTCAGCTTCTGTGCTCTAAACAAATAGTACCTTGCTAAATGAGAACTTCACCAGCCCTTCTCTGGTGTAAATTTGGAATATCCTCTCTGGAGAGGTGCCCCTTCCCCACTTCTAATGAAAATGTAGGGAATTGTGAAAAACTACTCGTTTTACCAGGCCTTGAATAGTATTTTGCATTTATGCCTAATTTTACATAAAATGCCTTGTTTTATTGAAGATGATTATGGTTACTGTCATATCCATTCACATATAGCTAAAGGGTGGTTATGTAAGCTCAGAATCACTGTGCATTTTGAAATTTTTAAAAGGTTAAGCCTTATATCTCTTTCTCTTTCTTTCCTCTCTAGTTGATGATTTTTGGAATCTTTTTGTGCCTGGATGCTTTCCTTTATGTATTCACCCTCCTCCCATTGAGAGTTTTTCTGGCAATGTTCAGGTTCATCACACTGCCTTGTAGTGGCTTGCGGTAAGTTTTTTATTTCTTCTGCCTTGATAACTGCTTATGTAGTCTGGTCTTAATTTGTCTTTAAGTAGCCTCGTTTAATATGTGGCTCTTCAGGATTGAAGAGCTGAACACGTTGCATTTGTTTCAGTGCTTCACCTGGCTGGGCTCTTTGTAAGAGCTGAGGACATTTATGGAATTTTAAAAGTGGTGAATGAAGCATTAACTTCCATAAGGACTTTATCCTGCAAGTTTCGTATCATTAAATTACAATTCATTTAGCACTGTAGCCTACTGATTTTTCTTTCAAGAGCCAGGGTACATACGATATGCATTGTACATTATTGGAGTGGCCTATAAGTCCAGTAAAATAAATTAAAATAAATAACTGTATTTAATATAATGCATTCCTGATGATATGGCCTAATATCTAATGGGAACACAGGTGCATAGAATCTTTTTTGTAACTCTGGAATAGAGCTTTCAAAACGAAAACCATATTTCTCTTGAAGACTTACAAAAGAAAGAAATGATCTGAGATCGACTATGTACTGAAGCAAGAATGCCGCAAACCAAAATTTGTTAAATGCAAGATTCTGTGGCTAAGAACTTATAATTTTCAACTCAAAGTTTGGCTAATTTAATAGTGTACACAATATAGGTTATTCTGGAGTACACTTTTACTGGGATGGAAGCATTAGAGCACCAGTTGTGACTGAAATTTTACCATCTTGTAGAATAAGATTGTAAAAAATGTTAAATATCTAGAGAACAATTCTGTCTACGGGTAGTCCTTGCTTAACAACCATTTGCTCAGTGACTGTTCAAAATTACGATAGTGCTGAAGAAATGGACTTACGACCCATGTCCGAAGATATGGCCGCTGCAGCGCCCCTGCTGTCACATGATCAGAATTGGGGCTTGGCAATCTGCCTGCACCTTCAACTGCAGGGGCACTGCAATTCCAGCCACCCGCCTATCTTCCCCCCATCTATGCCCTTTTGGCTGCCCTGCACAGCAGTACTCATCGGCAGCTCCGGGGCTGAGGCTGAAGTGGAGGCTTGAAGCTTTCAGCAGTCTCAGCCAGCTGCCCTCACCCCCAGGCACTGACTTCAGCCCCAGTGCTGCCGCTGCCACCGAGAAATGTTGCCTTGCGCCATTCCCCAAGCCACACCTCTCATTCCTTCCCTAAAGCCAGCATCCTGTTCCTTCCCCAAGCTGCACATCCCATACCTTCTGCAAGCCAGCATCCCATTCCTTCCCCGAGCAGTGCTCTCATTTCTTCCTTAAAGCTAGCATCCCATTCTTGTGAGACCTGGGGAAGACCAGAAGGCTTCTGAAGGATCACGAGAATAGGACGCTGGCTTGCAGAAGGTATGGGATGCGCACCATTCCTTCTCCAAATCACCTCTACTTCAGCCCTGGCCCTGACGCTACCACTGACAACTGCCGCTGTGCAGAGCAGCCAAAAGGGCACAGATGGGGGGGGGGAGATTGGCAGGTGGGGGAAGTTGCAGTGCCCCTGCAGTCACAAGTGTGGACAGGCTGCCAAGCCTCAATTTTGATCATGTGAGGGTGGGGGTGTCATAAGCACTTCTGGGGTGGCTGAAGTTTCCAGGGGCAGCTGCGGCTTTGTGCTGCAGTACAGCACTCCTCAACTTGTGTGTGGCCTGCGCTGGAGCTCCCAGGGCCTCCCCACCCCCCGAGACACCCCTGCATTTCTTACCCAGGACTCTGTCCGCTTAACAACCGTGATTCTTGCTTAACAATGGCAGCTGAGAGTGCCGGGATTGCAGTTACTAAATGAAGTGGTCACATAGTTCGCTTAATGACCACATTGCTTAGCAACCTAAATTCCAGTCCCAATTGTCGTTAAGTGAGGACTACCTGTATTTATTCTTCTGGCTCTTGCTCCTTTTTTGCCTGGCTCTAGTATTAAGAATCTGTTGGTGCAATATCCTTGTTGTGATTATGGTGTGAGTAAATACATTTGCAGAAATAACTGTCAACGCACGAAACTCGCTGGCAAGCCAAAAAGAATCATGAGCTCCTATTCAGGAGATGGTGCTTAAACCCACCAAAAGATGGGAAGCACACATTTATTTACTATTCTAGTTTAAAAATCTAGTTTCAGGGACTATCATATATCCTTGTTCTTAAATACACTATAGTATTTAAACTCTCCTTCAGTTGGTGCTGGTCACCTGGGGTCTTCATGGATACCCCCATATGGTTTTCTTGGCAGGAAGTTAGAAATGGTTTGCCTTTGTTTTCTTCAGAAATATTTTGTCAACTTCCCAGTGTAGTCTACAATCCCAGCATTTCCTAGTGATCTCCCATACTGTATAAATATTTACTAACCAGGTCTGACCCTGCTTCATTTCTAAATCCAAGCAAGGCCAGCCAGTGCTGCTACCTAGCAGAGCATAGATGGATATAGCTTACAATTAATCAAGTGAAAAAATGGCTAGAATCCTTTATCCACACTGTGGGCAATTTTAATACTCTACTAAATATGTCTGGTTTCATGCATTTTGTTTATGGTAAGGTTGCACATTGTCTGATTCCAGCTTCAGTTTCTTTTTACTTCATAAAGACTAAGTTAGATGCTGATTTTTTAAATATATATATTTATTATTATTAGTTATTATACTTCTATCCCATCTATCTTCAAGGTGGAACAAATGACCTTGAAAATGGATGGGGTATTTTATTCTCACAACTATCGTTCAGTGATTTAATTTGGCCAGAGAACTTATAATTGTCTAAAGTTATACACCAAGTTCCATGGTCAAGCGGAGGACTTAAATAAGGCCCTTTATTGCAATGAGAATAAACACATTCCGCCCCCCCCCCAAATCTCACTGAAATGTGTTGTTGGTGGGAGAAAGTGGCAGGAAGTCTCATTCTATGAGCAGAAATCACTTTTGTGTTACTGGTTGCAGTATATAGCTCTGGGCAGGATTTTCTAAACATTAATCAACACTTGATATTAACATTTAATATTGCTGAGCACAATATTTTGGCAGTCTTATTGATCTGCATGGAGGAAGAATATTTCATATATAGCCCACTTTATTTATTTGATGTGTTTAACCTTTATTAGCCACCCAGGGTCGCCTGGCAAATTGGTAGCCATATAAATGAACAAATAAATAAATAAATAAATCAACAATTTTATAGATTACCCATCACAGGACTGATGGAAAAAAAGGAATGTATGAATTATCTTTCGCCAGCAGTACAGGTACTCAGTTTTATTTTTTTTTAATTCAATTAATTGTTGAACATCTCTGATCAACATACACGAGGTACTGCAAAAGCCTTGAGCGCTGATCAGATTCATTGTCGTTGCTTGAGTAACTGCAAAAGTTCAGCGATTTCTGCTCCCCTCTCCCTTCCCATTTTGTATTCCAGACCTATTCTGCAAGATTTCCCCAACATCCCAGAGTAGATTTCAGAGGTTGGGATGGAGTAAGGCTTTATGTTGTTGAGGGATGCAGTTCCATCAGTGGATAAATAACGTGGATGCAACCCAACATATCTGTTAGTGGCTCTGCTCAAAATACCTTTTTGATATTGTCTGAATATTTCATAAACGTTTCAAATTTGGTATTCTTATTTAGTGCTTAATTCATCTATGGAATACTCCTCTGTGTGGTTGTTTGCTGCAGTAATAAAAGTTTGGTGGTTTTTAGTTTTCTTGAACTGTCCATGTTTTTAACAATAGGAAAAGGTATCATTCCATAATGTAGGTGGATATGTCTAACAACTGCCATTTTCAAAAGTGAAGTGCAAAAGTAGCTAAATCTGTTGAGGGTGGTTGCTCATCGTCTTCCTGTCTGTGTGGATATTCTCTTTGGGCTGAGCTGCTTGAAAAATATTCCTTTAAACACAGCATCATATTCCATTCTATGTGGAAACTAAAAGTGCTCCTCCCTTCATTCTATTTTTTTTCAAGATCTCAACAGAGAGATTAAGTGCACTATAACTCTTTCCTTTGTATTTCATTTATTTTTGCCTCTTGTAAGTTATTTAAATCAGGTGCTATATATTATTTCATTCTAAAATGTTCTGAAAACCTAAATATCCTTTCCTAGTTCAATGCTGATCCTTATTTACAACAGTATGAAGGATGTAAATTTTCCCTGTATCCTTATTCTGTCTCCTGAACTTATCTATCAACAGGGAGACTGATTCATAGGTGGGACTGTTTTATGTTCTTTTCAATTAATCTATTTGTGTGCTTTGGTTTATAATTTATTGAGAGAATAGGCTCAAATTTATGAGATTCTGAGTTTTTTAAGGCAGTCAGATACAGGTAGCCTTTGTTTAGAGACTGCCTCGTACAGTGACAGTTTGAAGTTACAACAGTGATGAAAAAGTAACTTTGAATCCTCACATTTATGACCTTTGCAGGTCTATAAAGCAAAGGAAAGCTGAAGTAAGATCATAAGTACAGTTGCGGTTTCACTTAGTGACCACTTTGCTTAATGACCAAGTTGCTGGTCCCAATTATGGTAGCTAAATGAGGACTATCATTTGGCTAGCAATGATGATTACTTGCTAAAAGTTACTTCTGTTTGCACTGGTATTTGAAGTTTTTGTTAGGGAAACCTTTCCGATATGCTTTGATGCCTGAGAACATATAGCTATGTCCCAAAAAAATCAGGAATGGCGTATCAGGCCTCCAGCACCACCAACTTCTACAAGTCAGATGTTGTTTCAGATAACAGACTTGGTCTAGCAAGATAAACTTTTTGTGATGTAAACAGAAGTCCTACCCACTGCTGCCTTAAATCAGTCTTTGGGGAAAAGTTGTCCTCTGCAAAAGGCATAATTTTTGTCAAAGCAGAATTTACTATTGGACTTTTTGATGTCCTGCTATGGATAATGGGATTAATGTAGCATACCACATTTTTGCCAGAGTTAGGTTTATCACTTTCCCTAAACCAGAACCCTATAGTAAATACTAGACTAACCTTTGCTTTAATTAAGTCTGACTGATAATTAAAAATTGTGGA